CTTAGCCAATGTTTATTGAAACCACCGCCTACTACTACCACATATGAAATAATCAGCTTATAAACACTTCACCAAAAATCAGCCAAAATAAAAAATCAGCCTTAAGACAAAGACTTAACTACTGACTAGAAGTCTAGACTTGCGTATTAGTAATTGCAGTATTAGTCTGTGCATTTGAGGGAAATAAGGAGTGCATATGTAACAGCTGATAAAGATATATACTATGCTTACAAACGTTGGGAATGGAAAGGTCCAGTGACTAGATCATTAAGATTTGTCAATAAGTATGTAGCTAAATCTGTTAAATACCTATTCAGCAAATGCTCAAGGCAAGTGTCAAAAACTACTGTTTTAAGTTAGTGGAAAAGGAGTCTCTTAAGAGTACTTCACCTGTGAAATCACAGAAAAGATACCAGAAAGACACTGCTGGGAAGGCAAACTGTAATAATAATAATAAATGCCCTAGCTGGAGTGAAAAGGACTTCAGAAGACATTAACAAAAATAACCCCACGATAATATACTGATTGTGAATATTCAAGTTGGTCTATTGGGCAGCATTGTGTATATTGTGTAGGGTCAGTGATCCTAACGCTTAAAGAATTCTTAGAGAGAGAGAGAGAGAGAGAATATATATATTCTGTGTAGTATCTTTAATTTACTGGGGAGGTTATAGTTTCTTCTTTGTGCTTTATTTTTTCTTTACAGAACACATTTTGTTCCTCTTGAAATTAGACATTTCTCCTGGGGTTCTCACCTCCACCAGAAATGACAGACATTTTACAGTTACTAATTTCTCTCTATAGACTTAATTAATGCTTCTCATTCTAATGCTTATTACCAGACTGCCCACCTATGCTATAGTAGGTTATAGTTTCTTCTTTGTGCTTTATTTTTTCTTTACAGAACACATTTTGTTCCTCTTGAAATTAGACATTTCTCCTGGGGTTCTCACCTCCACCAGAAATGACAGACATTTTACAGTTACTAATTTCTCTCTATAGACTTAATTAATGCTTCTCATTCTAATGATTATTACCAGACTGCCCACCTATGCTATAGCTTGACTCAAAGACAAGAGCATCTGTCCAATCAGACAAAAAAGCGAGAGTGAGAGGAAGATGAATACAAACCTTTATCACACCTCTGAGAAAAGCAAAGGCGCTGGGAATGGAGCGAGACTCTTCATCTTAATTAAAATGAATGGCTTTGGCTGTTAGTGGAAAAATAGGCCCCTCAATTTCCGTGGGCTAGAAATAAAACCTGAATAGCGCACGTGTAATTATTTTTGATTATTTATGGGAACTATGTGAGTGAACATTTTATTTACATTCCTATTCATGTCGCGAGAGAATAACAGATAGACGGTAGATATGATATAGACAGACACATTACAGGTAATTAAAATGCTGAAAAAAAGACCACTAAAAGCATACTCTGAGGGAAGACCTGTCTCGCTCATCACATAGCAACCAATCAAATACAGGTCTGGTAAACTGCAATGTGAAAATGAAGATTTGAGTATGACTGGCTGCTGTGAGCTGTCTGAGACTGTTTCACCAGCTCATATAAACCAAGCCCACTATCATGTCATTCAATTATTATCTACACAATAATACAGGTTGCTACATGCAGGACATAAAAACATACTTTATATATTAACCTGAGGCAGGGGTGTATAGCAGTCTTTGTTACCATAGCAATGAATAGGGGTCATCCATTATTCACCAATCCAAAACAGATAATAAACCATCATTATATGCAGAAAATTAGACTGCATCTTTTATCACATGCTATACACTGTGGTTTATTATTCCTGAGGGCAAAAATGTTACGCAAGCTAATCACCTAAGGGGATTTTTGTATACTGCATTCAAATAATTGAAAGATTTTGGTTGCTTTGAATTATTACATTACATAACACCCTAAGTCTTTACATTTCCTACTTAACAAGACTATATGCGTAAACAACACAATTTCCATGTCAGTTTTACAGTAAATTAAACATATAAAAACAGAAATGAACAAAAAAATGTTTTGTGTGGCCCATAACAACCCATCCACCAACTTTTATTTTATATATTTTTATTATTAGAAGGAGGACAGGCTTACCCTGGCAACGCAGTTGCTTTTCTTTCCTACGCTCTTTATAAATGAGTCTCAGTATGTGACTTAGATCTGAAAGCTGAAACTTACAATTAGCTGTTTAACAAATAATGGGTACTTGCATTAGGATTTAAAAAAATTATGTGTTACCATATTCATTTAAAGAAAAATAGTGCATGTGAACTGAAAAAGGTAACTAACATTTCATTCTATGTAGATGTATAAATCTTTAAAGATGCCACAGTTTGTTTCTAATCCTTTATCACAAATTGTAAATAATAAACTATACAGTATGATTATAACTATTATGGCTTTTGCTATAATTATTTTCTTGACTATCAATATTAGTAGTGGTAGCAGCATTAGTAGTGCTGGTAATAGTAGTAGTAGTAGTAGTAGTAGTAGTAGTAGTAGTAGTATCCTCCCTTGTTACTAATTTTTTATATCTCTTCTTGTTGCTTTACAATATGCTCCTTGATCAGACCACCTTCAACCTTCTACCTTTCT